ATGCAGACAGAGAAAGAGAGAGAGACGGAGCTCAGTGGGTGGGGAGGTGCAAGGGAGGGCAGGATGGATGTGTTTGATGGTTGACCTGACTAGAAGATTGGGAGCAGGGATCTGAGACCTGCTACACTGGTTCTGCCTTGAGCAAACACACAAACACACAGGTATGTGTGCACACACACAGATGTTATGTAGTACACATAACACATATCCAGAAATGCTTGCACAAACACTAACAAGCACAAAATCAGAACAGACACCCTTGAAAACTTTAAGAAGTCAACTGCATTCACCTTTACACTAAATTAAACACAAGAATATATACCTGAAGATAAAACATGCCACACAACACAGTGTGCTTGAATTGTAGCCTTAAACATGAAAACTTAGTTGAAGACAGAAACCCATGCACACAGCTTTGTCAAAGCTTCTTCTATACCACACTCACACAGAAATACGCACCCAAATACCGATATGGCATCTAGCCAATTTGCTCTCTGCAGCAAGCAGGTGAGCTGCCCTCTAGCCCTGGCCATTGACCTCTCCTCTGACCAAGTTCAGAGGTTAATCAAGTCCCTACCTGTCCTTGGATATGCTGAGCCTTACTTCTTGGCACGACCACATGTCAAAGGTCAAATAAATCCTGTCTGTATAATTGCTTGTGGGCCACAGATTGGGGCAAAGGGGTGAAGGTGACAAAGAGCAAAAACCCAGGCCCATAGAGAAATACTGTAACACCATGTCAAATACAATTACCTGCGTGTGTGCTTGTGTGTCCATGTCTTTATGTTTATAATCAAGTTTTGGTTTGTGTGTGTGTAGGTGTGTGCGCACATGTACGTTTGTGAATCCTCAGGACATTTTGTAGTGCGGTGTGAACATGGGGAAACAGGGCATCATCTGCTAAACAAGGACAAGGATCTCAGCCTGCCCCTGCTGAAAGCTGCAGCCGGGAATAATGGATCTTGGAAAAGCAGGGCCTAAATAATGGATGCCCCCTTTTTTTAGGAAACACACAATCCACAACGGTCAGATGAGTATGTGACAGTACAAGACCCCCTGTCTGTGCCACTTCCGTCACCAATAAATTGGAGACCACAATACCCCAAAGAGTCCTGCATCTGCACTGAAGAAAAACCAAAGATATAATATGTAAACAAAAAACAAAAGCACACTGAAGAGCCCAAATATTTTACTCCATAGTGGTATGATTCTGCCAAATGAATAATTGTAGAGAAAAGCAGAGAGATGTCATAGTGAATGCACTGGTTGTCCACCAGTCTTGATCATGCAGATCTCTCATTCTTTAAGTAAAGCTGAATACAGTGGGAGAGAAGGAACAGAAGGAATATCTGCTGCTTCAAAATGCTATTGGAGTGAGGACCTCTGTCTATCTCCATCTCTCTGAACATTTAAGAAACATACATAAGTGAGACGCTAGAAGGAGAAGCACAAAAAAGGAAGAAAGAGAGAAAAGTATTCCAGTCATTTATAAATAAGGGTAAATAAAGTGGTACTTAAAGAAAGGCGTAGCACTGTTTTTTGTCCCTTTGCTCTTTTTTCCCCCTTCTTCTTTCCAGGGCCTGTTGGCCTAATCCCAACCAGCCAGCCTTGGGTGAACTCTTTGGAAGCTTCTTAAGCCCATGAATGTGCCTTTTGTTCCTGCCATTCCTCCGCTTGGCTGACAGAAAATAGCTAACTGGATTACTGCTAAAATTCAGAGTAAAGTGAACTCCCAAACTTCTATATGGCAAAGTGCTAAGAGAGCCCCCCCGCCACTATCCTCATCAGCATCCCTCCGATCAGACTTTCTATCCTTCCATCCCTCCCTCTGTCCTCTCTTTCTCTCGCCCTCCTCACCATCATCCCCCTAAACATGGCCCAGTGGTGTGTGATTTGGAGGAGAGGAGAGGAAAGGAGAGGGATTAGATAAGGTTGAGAGGTTGCACACTATGAACCCAAGGCTAAAAAGTAAGAATCCTAAAAGCAGTTAAGAGCTTATTAATGTGTGTAAGGAAGCGTATTAATCAAGTCATCTCTATCAGGGGGCTGGTGTGTGTGTATATGTGTATGTGTGTGTGTGTGGGGGGGGGGGGGGTATATGCAGTCTTTGTGAGTTAATGTAGTAAAAAATTAAATGTAAAATCTGATTTTATGAGTCTCATACATACAAAGCAACATGCAAGGTGGTAATTCAAGCTTATGGTATTTTTGCATTATGTTGGATTTCATCATATTACAGCAAGTTGAGGTGTATATTTGAGTGTGTGTGTGTTTCTGAATGGCTGTGTGCAGGTGGTCTGGCAGCTCAGCGGGAGCTAGAGTGCGAGGTGTAGCAAATAAAAAAGGTTTTTGTGTGTGTGTGTGTGTGTGTGTGTGTGTGTGTGTGTGTGTGTGTGTGTGTGTGTGAGTGCACGTGTCTCTGGTGGATGCTGTAAAAAAAAGAAGATAAAAACAGCCCTGCTAAAGAGGTTTGATTTGATCCACCACCCACCCCGACTAACAGAGGTGAAGGAGAACGATACACACACACACACACACACACACACAAATGTCAAAACCTCTTTTTTCACCTCCTTTACTCTTTTGTCTGCTGGTATGTGTGTGCCTTTATATATCTGTGTGTGTGTGTGTGCGCGTGACAGCTTACTCTGTGGCGGACAGAGGCAGAGCAGTGGAGAGGAGGCATGGACGATAGAGGCGAGGTCATACACACTAACATCCTGCTGACTTCTGGGTCAAAGGTCAAAATTCAAGGGGCACTAACACAGGGCCAACCTGCTCACTCATTAATCTTTATCCCGAGTCTTGCAATCCCTGCATCTAAGGACAAGTGTATTTAGCTGGAAAATCTAAACCTTCTACATGACCCCTACTTTACTGGTTAATGAGGATAATTTTGTATTAGCCTGCTGGTCTGAAAAAACTGACAAAGAAAGCAATTTTTTTATTCATCGCTCCGTTTTAAAATGCCACAACACTGAATACTGCTCTGGTGTGCAGCCCTAAATCAATCATCAATGCGCTAGCTTAATATGCAGAAAAGTGACTTGACATGGCTAGGCTAGTGGGGTATTTCCTTCAGTTACTTATGATATTGTCTGTCCTGGCTTCTCGTGGAGTTGTAAAAAGCTAAGACGGTTAAACTGGACAGTATTTCCGAGAGTACAGTCACAAAAAGACACACCACTGCTGCATACCACCCTTGTCTCAATGCATCTGACCCTGTCCAGCATGCATTATGCAGGCATGGGGAAAGCAGGCCGAGCCCAATATCAAGATGTGAATAATACTACCTGCTTCCCCGTAGGATAGGGAAACCTTGGTTGGGACTTAACGATCTCACACTGCTAATGTTACCGAGTGTTAAAGATTTCAGGCAAGAGGATGGGAGTAAGAAAAGAGATATATGTGTACACGGAGAAAAAGAGAATTGGAGAAAAAGGGGTCATTATGTGATGAGAATTATTCAAGTCACCTTCAAAATAAAACAAGTTATTAAAACACTCCTAACTATGCATGTCCACCAAAATGTAGATGGCATTAACACATGCATATATTTATATATTCACACACACAGACACACACTCAACGGAGATATGATACAACAAACTCACAAGCAATAAGCATTGGATTTTGAATATTAATTTGATATAGCTAAAATTAAAACATATATAAGTGACAGCAGATGCAAGTTAGGTTGACTGTGTAACTGTGACGACATGATGGATTATTTACCATAAGACCTTCATGTCTGATAACATAAAGCAGGTTGTATGATGGGGAAACCAGCCATCAACCAAAGTGTGATAGAGTAAGATAGAACTGCAGCTAATTATCCCTTATTAGAGTGTGTGTAAAGGTACTGCCAGGGGGTGGAAAAAAAAAACCCTGCGTTGACAGCTCACACACCGCCTGCTAGTCCCACAGCAGCCCTAACTCTTGTCAGACACCAGATACTGACGTATTTCTCACAAACACACTTTCGCACAAACACCCACACACACACAAACGTACATGCATTGCTGTGACGCTACTGCCATCGACTAAAGTAAGACACAGATAATCAATGGGGACACTCTACTCATATGAAACTCTGTGATAGGGAAAAAGTCTAGCACGTTATGCCCTTAATCTTTAAAATCTTTCTGAATTAGAGCTTTTAAGGAAGAATTAAAAAGTGTCTGGACCCAAAAAATAAACAAAAGACATCTATGAAGAGGACAACTTTTTACTGTACACATATTTATTTTCACAACAAAACTAAATGTATGCAAAGGGTCACTTCCTTTGTTTGACCACAAGGTAAACTGGCTGAGCTAGGTGCCTAGAGCCGTGCATGTGTATGTGTGTGCGCGTATATGTGTGTGCATGTGTGTATGATTAGGGGCTGTATGGTCAATGTAGCATGATAAGAATGTTGCACTGTGTTTGCAGAGTGTGTGTTGTGGAGATAATAATCCCAGCGGTCAACAAGAGTGAAGGGCCAGAGCTGCACTGACCAGCCCACCATCTGAGAGAGAAAAAGAGAGAGAGGCAAAGAAGAGAGGAAGAGGGAGAGAGGGAGGTAGCCATGTGGTTAACACTTGCTCACTGAGAGGCGACTGGAGCATAGCCAACCTCTTCACACACAGGCTGACCACACAAGAGCCTCTCTTTCTCCCTCTGCCTCCCATCCTCCCTTCATCCCTTGTTACCTAACCTTTCCTTCCCTAGTTTCCTTAGCTAGCCACCTCCCACTGTCCTACTCCCCGCACCTTCTTGACTCTTTTTGCTCTTCCAAACTTGACCAAATTCCTCTCTCCCATTTTCTCGCCTATGTCTCACCTCGTCCCACGACCCTAAACTGTCACACTGTTCACCTCCCCATCATGTCTGCTTTTGATGAACATCTATCCTTCTGTCCCTCCGCCCCGGCTCTCCAAAGACTTCCTTCCTGCCTTCCTTTTCCATCTCTCCTCTCTCTCTCCATTCCTTCGTCCCTCCCTCCCTTTCCGACTTACCCGTACAGGGATCCGTTCAGTCTCTGTCTCCTTCTGTGGGTTACGGTACTTCTCATAAAATTCTCTCTTCTTTTTGCCCTCTTTATCATCTTTGCGTTCCCTCTTTTCAGCGGGTTCGTCCGAGGGTTCAGTAGGAGAAGGCAGGGGAGAGGACTTGGCTGGCTTCTCTACCTCCAGGTAGTTCTCATTGGGGTTGAGCACCATCACACCATAGCCCTCCTAAAACAGATAAAAAAAAGAAGTATGTGTATTAGAGTTTTTTGTGATATTTTATATTCATTAACTTTCTATGTATAAAAGTAGTGTCATATATATTTATATAGTATATATATACACACACACACAAACACACATATATTGCTTAAAATGCAAAATATCTGCAATATACCAATAAACCAAATGCATGTAAACATAAAGAAAATTTTATATTTAACAAGGGACACTGTGCATCTATTTAGATTAGATTAGTAGAGTAACTGTAGATTTGTTTTTTGTTACTTCTGAAAATTCTTTATTCTTTATATAAATTTTATCAAACTTAAAATGTAATATTGACAGAACAGATTTTGTTGTTTTTTAGTTGTTTGTTCTTTTTTTTACGTACAGAAAAAACATGATATTAACTTTATCAAACCTACTAGGGAAGTTGATCTCATGATAAACTCAGAAACCTTCCTGCTATTTTAGGTCTGATAGTGGCTCATGGTGAAAAGCTCTATAGTGGATATCCATGAACAAATAACACTGTTACAACACTTAAAAGACAGACTGTGAGATGACTGGGGGAAAGACGCAAATGCAGACTGAAAGAAATGGCAGAGAAAGAGACAGAGGAGAGAGTGTCACTGCAGGGACAAGCCTGAGAAGTAACTGGGGGATTGGAATTCAGTGACGGTGGTTTCAGTTGGTGAGTAGCATTTAGTGACTCCAAAGGCCATGTGTCACTTAATATCAAACCCAATCGATCCCACCATCACTCAACAAAAGAGTTAGCAGCAACAGCACACATATCTGTGTATGTGCATGTGTGTGTGACCTGAAACTTCTACAGAGAGCACTACAGATAAATCTATAAATAAAGCTGAGAACGTTTTCTCGTAAAAATAAGCTTTAGATTAATATTAACAATAATCAGTGCACTAATTCAAAATGGCAAAACTTAAAAGAAACCCAAGTGGTTATAATAATAAAGAATGACAGAGGGGAAATGTATTGTGGAGAAAAGGAAGTTTTCTTATAGCCTTTGGTGACTTCTTCAACTTGGAAGCCATTTTAATTAACTGTGTTTATTGTCCCAAGCACTCTGAAACTAAAGCAGGAAATTGATGGATTCCTGTTTCACTTTGGTTGTGCTTTTCACACACAACCCCCATTGTGAATACACATACAACCCCCAAGACTCAAACTTATAGGTGTATGCCTGTGCAAAAACACACACACAAAAGACACACACTGAGGAGTACGAAAGATATCAGTGCAGACAAAAAGACCTTTAGGAGATGTGAGAGGGAGTTAAGAGAGGCAGTGTCGCTCAGCTTCCTCTGCAAATCGCCATCACACACGCTGTCTTCTCAAGGCAGCACGTCTCCTCTTCCTTAATAAGTGTTAACACAATGTGCTTGTCTTCCGTTGACGCAGCATGTGTGTCCCCCCAGTGCCCATCGACATCAAACCTGCCACACACCCCTTCCTTTAGCACCTGCCGTGTGTTGACAACAGCAAAATGACACTTTCTCACTTATTCATTCAGATTATAAAATTTGTCTGATTCTTGCTCCTTTTTTAAATTCAGACAAGGCTCTCCTTCCCTCTCTGGACATATTTGTAGTGTAAAATGTATTATAAATATAAAGATAATTAACTTAAGAAACCATTCTTAAGTGAGAAGAATTTTGGACATTATCAAATTGTTACTTATTACATTTATGTGTGTGTTTTAAAAATCGGTGCACTCTTACATGAGCTTTTAATCGCCACTGAAAATTCAACAAATGTATTTTGAAACTCTAATTTCAGCTTTAAAGAATTTTCTACGAAATAATTGCATCTGCATGGTGGAATGAAGTTTTGAATTTTACTCCAAGGCACAGCAGTTCTAACGGTAATTTAGCAAGTGATTTATGACTTTAAAAAACAACATGTCCACATCATAGTTTGTATGCAAATTATAGGTAGATGATGTTTCTCCGAACCAGGTTTTATTAGTCTTTGTGTGTATGTATGTGTATGTAAAGCATAAAAGTGAAGTTGGAGAGGTAATGGATGGGGATCTATTAGAGAGAATGAATTCAGCCTTCTGACATCACAGCGACATTTGTGCACACAAATACAGAAGTTCAGACACACAAGCACACAGGCAGACAGATGGATCGCCGGATGAAAAAGAAATAGGAGCGGGTGAGGTAAGAAGACAGCGCAAGAGACAGAGTGAGACAAAGAGGGGAGAAAGAGTGACAGGCCGAAATGAGAGATAAAGATAAATAGTACAATGATAAGACAAAGATAGATAGAGAAGGAAGGAGAGACACAGAGACGTAGTCTAACCAGATCCACACCAGCTTTGTGCCACTGCCCACTGGTGGCAGCCTGATAAAATAACTGACAAGACTACTTTAACCTAACATCATAGATACTTAACCTAAAATCAATAAATGATTAAATTCAATACCAAAATGTATATATGAAAAAAATAAACAATGACAAAATGAAAAGCACACTGCACTGTCAACAAATGAGGACAGGATGACAGAAAGCAGGAAAAGCCTCTTGTACTTAACCACCATAACTTGGTGTGCATTTCTCCTTACCCCTAATCCTAAATTCACAAGGCCAAGAGTTAATGGTTTAGCAACACTGGTCCACGTGTTCCAATGCTAACCCTGAGTAGCTTACAACCATATTTAGTCTTCTGTGCTCTTACTCTAACCCTCACTGGTCAATAACCCTTCCTGGTCTTAAGCATACTATTGGTAACCCCAAGAGGCCCCGTTCCAAGCCTTTAGCTTCTTATGCTAACCCTGAGTGGCCTATAGCCTAACCTACACACCTAACCGAGCTAACCCTTTCAGCTGTCCAGTCACCCAGAAGGACATTGCTATAAAGGCGACCAGTGTTGTTGGCGTACTTAGTCTGCAGGAGCAGGGGCCGCCAAGTTCACCTCTATGTCGGAAACCATCATTTATTTGAACACTGAGAGGTCTGTATTGGTGTCAGGACAACACTGCTCTCCCTGTCCAGACACTTCCTCCTCTTATTCTTCTCTCCATCAACCAAATATATAACAATGAGTCTGGTGCTGGTAGACCGATCACAACAAAGCATTTGGGAAAACGTAAATTTTATTTTTTATTTTTTTAACTTAAACTGAAATAAGGCTCTTTTATAAATTTGATTCTTGCATTTTTCTCTGATGTAAAAAAACTATAAAGATTATAAACTTGAAATATTATAACTTTATACTGTAATTTTCTAAGTGTATATACCAAAACTATCTATATAAAAAATATCTATTTTTGAAGAATAAAGCATAATATTCACAGCATATTGACGATGTTTTAACCAAATCCAGCAGAACTAATTTCTCCCACAGAGCTAATGTTTATTATCCTAGTCTTTGCCTTGTTTTGTGACAGATAAATCTATCCATACATCTCACCATAAACCCTTGTAGAGTTAGGTCATTCGGTCTTTGTGTTTTTAGCTAACTGTTAAGTCTCTCCTACATACACACACACACACACACACACACTCTGGATACACCTGCTAAATCTGATCTTTGTGTTGTGATGTGCTGTCAAAGTCTGAATCTTACACAAATGCACATTGCAAACCTTGGGTCACCCTGCTTTTTATACCACTAAATCTCCCTCTCACACATTGCTAACATCGGGTCACTTTGCCTTTGTCCTATACACACAGACCAACTCAAATGAAACACACACACATGATCCTCTAGCGTTGGGTCAGCCTTGTCTTTCTACTGCAGTATGCAGGCTAAGTCTCTTCCCATGCCCTGTCGGTGCCCCTGTGCCACCACCACAGTAAGTCCCTGCCCTGGGGCCAGCGGTCAAGAGGGTCGCTCCGACCCCTCTAAGGGGGGACACCCCAACCCCCATCACCCCGCTCCGGACACTCCTTATTGCTTCTTTGTCGGCCTGTCCCGCACCAGATAGCACAACAAAGGCTGCCGCTGCCAAGGAAACCAGAGCTTGTCTCATCATCGTGATGAAACCATTCCTCCGTCATCGCATGTTCTCCACCCATGCAGCGCTGTGAGGCTTCTTAAAAACCCAAATGCTCCTTACTATCTGCAAGGCATTCAGAAAACATCTAATAAAAAAAAGAAAACATATATGAAGCTGAAATATAAATATCATGATATTAAGTATTACTTGTAATTTATTATTGCAGAACTGAAGCCATACTGTGCTGTCTTAACACTATTGTCAATACTCCTTGATGACAATAATGTGCCCTCTTTATGGTCAAATTAGATGCCACTTGTCCACTAGAACTTTGATGGTAACAGATCATTATTTTCCCTTCCAGTCGCATTATTCGAAAAGAAAGTGGCTAGCGCGTGTGTGTATGTAAAGTGAGGACACAAGTGCGAGGGAGAGTAAATAAGATGTGCCTTTAAGACAGCAGCACCTCTACTTTTCCAGTGGCGTTGTAATGAAATGAAATGTGTCTAATGTGCGGGAGCGGGGAGCGAGGCGGCCGGAGTGAGAGGGTGTTTCATCTGTGCATGTGGAGCTCAGCGAAGCTTTGATGTGAGAGCTCTCATGTAGTGAGCAGGGCTTTGGGCACAGGGAAAAGGACAGCACTTGACAGGTACAAAGCATGGCTGATAGCAGTCACGGGTGCATGCAGTGAGGAAAGTGAATGGTATGGAAGCGTGAATTTATGGTCTGTACGTGTGGCTGTTTGCTGAATAGGAGCATTTAAATGCTCTTCTTCACATTGCATTTTTATTTTAGTGCATTTATGTATCTGTGTGCATGCATCTTACATCTCAAGAATCAGTCTTTAGATGTCCATTGAAATTGGATCTCGGGGCAGCTTACTTTATTAGTTTTCATATCGGGGGGCTGTTAAGATCAGGGTAAACGGCACTCCCTTTTCTCAACAGCCTTCGCTCCACTTCCTTGTTTCAGCAATACACAGCTCCTGATTCGCTACTCAGGATTGACTGACAAGAGAGAAAGGGTCACCCAGCA